AAATGATATTCTTTTTTTATATGCTTTTTCAGTAGAATACGTTGATAGTCATAATAGATATTCTAAGTACAGGGTGGTAAATAATATTATTCCAGGGGGGTAACAGTATGATCTCGAATCGGAGATATCATGAATTTTATACCAAATGAAAGCCCGTGAAAAATGGGGTTTAGTGATAGTAAATAGTAAGACTTTGAAGAACTTTCGTGTACCAAATTTTTAAAAACAACGAAATTTTCTTTCAAAAACACGTTAAAAATCATTTTTCATACATTTTGAGACATTGAAAACGAACATTTTTTATGAAAACGAAAGAGAAATGATAACGATGATGATATATGACTATGACTCACACAATAAGATGGTTCTTTGGCGTTCTGTTCTTCTCTCCACGTGATACTAGTTATTTGAAAAATTTTTTCGTTCTCGGACTGTCTGAAAGTTATAGTCGAGTGAAATCTCAGTGTTTTTTCGTTTGTTATTTCAAATGGCTGGCGCTTATGATACCGAACAACAAAGAATGATTGATAGAATTAAATGCATTACTTTCCGAGAAGCTCGTGATGCTGGTGCAACATTTATAAATAGACAATGGATTGCCGACAAAATTCACCGTACGACTCGATTTGTTACAGAATGGTGGGAAAAATCGTGTGACCAATGTTTTGCTGATTATTCGAATGCTGGTCCTAAACTCAAGTTATCGAGAGCTGCTCAGGACATTATTCGTGAAGCAAGTGGTCACCAACGGAAAAGCGGTTCTGTCGTGGCGAAAGAGATTGCAAAGAAACAAAAAAGAATATGTTACTCGACAAACAGTTAATAACTACCGTCGTAGGGAAGGATTAAAGCCTTTTCATGTTATTTCAAGACCGTTAAAATCTGAAACTCATATATCAGATCGATTATGGCTCTGTGATTGGTTGAAAGATTGGACTGAAGAAGATTTTCTTCATCTGGCACCATCAGATGAATTTTATGTTTGGACAGTTCGCAAACCAAATTATCAAAATGATAGGATTTGGGCAAAAAGTGTTGAAGATATTGAAGACGATGAAAGGTATCGCGAAATGGTTAAAAACCAAGCGTGTATCGGTATTTTTATCATTTTCACCGCGAAAAAAATGCATTGGGTGATTAAAGACAAAGGTGAATCTTGGACCGGTCAATATTTTCGTGACATTATTTTAATGCAACACGTATTTCCATTCCTCACCGACGAGGAAAACGTAATTGATCTGGATAATGTGATATTTGTTCACGATAAAGCACCGTGTATGCGAGCAAACATGACTCAACATCTGATTAGAGATAACAAAATCGAGTTTTGGGGCAATGATATTTGGCCTGGTAATTCGCCCGATCTCAATGCGGCGGAACATATTGGATCAATAATGAAAGATGAAGTTGAACAAAAAAATGTTATCGGAAACTGGACATAATCGATATAGTGAAGACACACTTAAAAAGCACATTGCGGATGTTTTGACGGACATGGAAGAAAATACCGAATTGTTTGAAGCTCTTTTATGTTCGTATCCATCTCGACTTCGTGCAGTAAAGAGTGCTAATGGTCGTCATACTGATTATTGATTGTACTCAATAAATAATAAGAAAATAAACAGTTGTACAACATATAGTTTAGCCCCGAACTTTTTCGATGAACTGATTTTATAATATTTTATGTCGATAAAAATCGTAACGTTTGATAAATTAATACAAGAAAGTTCTTCAAAGTCTTACTATTTACTATCACTAAACCCCATTTTTCACGAGCTTTCATTTGGTATAAAATTCATGATATCTCCGATTCGAGATCATAGTGTTACCCCCCTGGAATAATATTATTTACCACCCTGTA